AAAGTCTTGCCTCCTATATAGTAAATGTGGTGTTTACTATGTTCATAAGAGAGGCAAAACATAACTTCTGAAAGCAAGCACTTTGCATTTTTAGTGCCCCTCTTTCAGCTAAGGGGGAAAGGAGAGAGACAGGTGGGCACCGATTCTTCCAAAGTTACTAATGAAATGAATAGGTGAAGTAACCAGCACTGGATTCTGAATAGATGTTGCCGGTGCTCTCTGCTGGCCAATTAATAAATAAAACAATATTTCATAGCATCTGGGTCCAATCCTCCAGCCTCTGGGATTTTGCCACTTATTCTAATGGGTTCAGAATCAGCCCCCTTTTCTCAGAAAAATGTAGGTTATCTCTACTTTTACTAAAAAAAAATCCTGCTCTCTGGGTAAAAGGGATGAGAAGTGGGGGAAAGTATTACGTTTAAATTTCAATCTTCTTCCAAAGGGAAAGAGGTGTGTTCTGAGATCAGAAATGCAGGTGTAACTTGGGGGTTGTTTTTTAAATTAGCTGAGGGGATTGTCTTCTGTGAAAAGCTGAAATCACAAACGAGAGCAAACCTGATCCAATCAGCTCAGGAAGTAGAAAGTCCAGCAACAAAAATCCAGTTGTCTGGATTACAGAATTAACCCTTTAAAACGTGTGCTGCTCAGAAGACAGAAGAACACAATATATATATACAAGAAAAAAATGCTCCACATTAGCAAATACGTTGTGTTGTACTTTTAGGATGATCCAAACATTATTTGCTTTATATATTAATATTAAAGTTATGAAATTGTCTCTTATGGTATTTCAATTATGTTGGGTGGGGAAAGAGCTCCTATACTATGACATCTATGTAGCATATATTAGATGTTCTGAAGTGCATTATACATTCTAAAACAACCACATAAGGTGTTACTCAAAAGTGACAGTACCACTTTTTTATGGCTCTGAAAATATTCCTTGGTCATATAAATAGTTTGTTTATATCTGTGATACCCATGATAAATTAAGTATCTAAATAACCAGGAAAAGGGGAGAGAACAAAACCTCTGTGACCATTCCTGGTTACTACTGTTCCCTACAATTCCGGTTTTAAAAGGCAACTTGAATAAGTAAGTCTCCCTTACAACGAGCAAGCACTCTTTTCAGATGAACATAGAGGTTCCTTCAGTAGAGGAGACACCGGGCCCGATCCTGCTCCCATTGATATTAATTGCGCCAAATACCCTCTCAGTGCGAGGATGATCCAACCCTCAGTTCGTGTCTGAGAGCAACTCAGCCCAAACTAACTCTTGGGAATAATATTTGGCAGGAGCGGGTTTCTTCCTCATATCAGGAGGCCTTTCCCCCTTTGTTCGAGCTAAAACGGTCTGAATCTGTTGCGGTGGGAATAGGTGTGATGACAAGTCGGACTGTTGTTAGAGCAAGAGGAAAGAGATCTGTTTAGTAGAGAAGGGGGTATTTTCTACTTGGTCATTTCATCGCTGTCCATTTTGGAACAGGACGTCGAAAAGAATACCAGTGAGTGGCTTTCTTGTGAGTCAGACTTTTTCTTTAGTTTTAACTCCCTTTCATGATGTCTTTTCTTCTTTTCTTATGGTCTCCCAGTTAGTTGTACTAAAGTAAACATTTTCAATTACTTCTTGATTTAGGGCCCACAACCCCAATGTGTTTTTTTTTAAATTTAGTTTTACCTATGTGGATTCCTACAGAGAGAGAGAGAGACTCAAACAACAAAGCTAACAGGAATTAATGAACAAATTACTTTCTTTGCTTTGGAGTATATATTCTGTATTTGGGTTATTAAATGCTGTCAATATGTGTCATATTAAAGGGTTCCTTGTATATTTCCCCTTCCCATAAAAAAGAATCAGACTTTTAGCTGCTAGTCTGCGTAATGATTTTGTAATATATCGCTGAAGAAATCCCGGTGCCAGCTGCAGTCGGAGGGTACGTCCTGGGCCCACTGAAGTTAATGGCAAGGCTCCCATTGACTTCATAGGACCAAGATTCCACCCAACAGGCCGAAAACTTTCAGTTCCGCCTAGTGCCAGTCCATACAGGGCCAGATGCTGATCTCAGTTATATGGCAGTGACCGCAAACAAATTAAAAGCGGTAGAAATGAGATCAGCCGGTATCCTTTACGTTTGCCAAACACCTATGGAACAACTGCAGCGGTAATACTCTGCTTTAGACTATTTACTTGGCGTCTAGTCTAGACTATCTACTCTGTCCAAACTGTATACTGTGCCACTCAGGGTGAATGAAGCAACTTTGTTTCCGCGGTGTAAAACTGCAACAAGCCTATATCAATTCTTCATATCGAAGTGGTCTTTTCTTTTTCTGTTCTAAATCGATTTTGATCCAGTTCATCTTTAAAAGAGTAAGTGGTGAAATCATATAGCTGTAGGCGACATACAGATTAATGAATTCAATGTCTCTGCTAGAAAGACCGCTTTCCTCTTAAAATTTCTGCCTGTGGCATGTCATAGAAAAATCATTCCTGTACCAGTATAACATGGCAGCGACTCTTTCAAATGAGGGGTTGCAAACTCTTTTAGTACTTATTACCTGTTGGAAAACCTGGAATGCTTAAACATGGATTTAAGCTAAATTAGGCATAGGTAAAAAGAGCCAGATGTATTCCTCGTGTTTCTTTAGCTGTTATGAAAATCACTTGTTCTGAATACAAACGCATTTGATCAAGCCTCGAGTGTATAATGCTTTGTTGCAATAAAAACCTTATTGAAGTCTATTGCGGTACCGGAAAAATGAATCGTCATTCCTGGTGTTACAATTAATAGGAAAGTAAGTAACAAGGATTAGAACGTTCATTTCAAAATGCCATTATTACAACTTCGGGTGGATGTTGGTTAACGTTTTTCGTCCATACATTTCTCGTTTGTATAGATGAAATCCTATTTGCCAGATACAGATCTATAAGGCGGGTGCGGTAATCTACGACATACCTGCGGTATGAAATGAAAAGGGCCTTGATTTCCTGATGGCTCACTTTTTTCCCCCTCTGAGACTAGTCAAAGTTCAGCTCAACTCCATCTTTTTAAAATGCTAATTCCTCCGATTTATTTGCAACCAACCAACCATTCCTCCTCCTATTTTCCCTACTGGATTTACCTTGCAGTTTCACCCACATGAAGAAAGCCATCAATATTAGTAGCTAGTAAGATTTTACAATGCTGTTTGTACAAAGGTTGCCTTTCCTCCCACCAAGTACGACGCCAGTGCAGATGGAATAAATAACAAAAATTCAACAAGTTTTTATTTCAACATCCTGCCCCTTTAATACTTGCTTGGGGTAAATTAGGCTTCGTTGGACGTATTTTTCTGCAAAAAATACGCGCAAATTATGAGATAAATTGGATCTCTTCGGAGAGTGCTTTCTGGAGCAAATCTTTCCTCCACTCCAGGGTGCAAAAGCAATAAAATAAGATCCTTTAAAACAGAGAGAGTTTGGACAGCAATTTCAGGGTTTCCAGCTCATGGATCCCATTACAGGCTAAGAAGAGACGTGCTCTCTCTTAACAGATTTTAAATGGAGGGGGAATATTAACATTATTCTCTACCCGTGCCTATCAGCAATAAGATAATAGATGCACCTCTATACTCACCCCAAAAGGTATTTATTATTATTAAGTGGCAGCTGTAGTATCGTTTACTGGAGGATCTGGTAATAATCAGAAAGGTGAGGAGTTGGCGAAATACATGTTACATTTATTGCATTTTTTTTTAAGATTCTAGAATGAGATTGGTCCTGTCATTTGTAGGGTTAAGTGTTTCAGGGCTCTTTCAATAATAATCCCTCTCAACTACATGGAATCGGGTTTCACAATGAAGACAGAAATATTGACAAGGAATCGACTCCCAAATTCATTTCATTGTTCCAGTAGCTACCTCTGCCAGGCAGCCAACAATTACATGTCCCTTTTGCTGAAAGAAAGGGGCCCTCAGAGAATTTAGAGCTACAGTAAGTCGTCTTCTTACTACTCTTATTAACCTTTATTTCTCAATCCCTGTTTATTGGAAGCCGTGAAGCCAGGTTCAATGGAGTTTCTTCGCAGTGTCACTGAGACCAGAATATTGGCCATATCAGCGTAAAGTGAAGACACACATTTATATTCTGATGAATCCAACTCTCTCCCAATGACACCTGGCAATAACAATAGAGTCCTATTAGATCAATTGAGAATTTAGACAATTATTCAGTCGTCTTTTATTTTATTTCCTCCTTTTCATGGTAAAAGTGTAAACACTGGATGTTGTCCAAATGTGCTCCATTGATACCATATTGTACTGAGCTCTACAGATGAAAAAAAATACCTCCTTCCCCCACCATCACAATAAATAAATAAATAAACCTAGCATTGCCTTCTGGAACCAGCTGCCTCTGATTCAGATGGACTCGATTTTAAATTGAATTAAAGGTGTTCTCCGCATAAATTCAGTCCCCATCTTCACCCCGCGCGCGCACACAAATTCCATGGCCCAGTATGAAAATATTTCCTTTTACAAACAGCTGATCATTCTATTTCCATTTTTGAATGTCCTTTCACCCCACTCCATGTGCTGATCTCTTTGTACACCTGCCGCAGCCTCGCGCTCCCCCCGCCCCCAAAGGTAAGTGTTTTATAGCTCTCTATTCAAAAACTAACTTGCTATTTTACAAACACCTTTAAATTTCGTGAAATCAACTAACTGAAAAACTGGAGCAAAGACGGCGCTGAGACGTGTGGATGCGACATAAAAGCGATGGAATAAACTTCAAAGGTTTCAGTGGTGACTTTTCAACCTTTATTTATGTGCCTATTAATGCAATATCCATCACGTAGATATACATCTTTATCCTTTAAACTGATATGCTGGGAATCAATTAGATATGCAGATTACATTTCATAAGTTTCCAAATGTTAATCTTCCTGGCCCTTTGCTGTTAATTTTTTCTCCAAATGGTATTATGTTTCGGGGGGAAAATGTCCTTCAAACAATTAATCTTTAGGCTACTTGTCTCCAAATATTTACTAAGGCTGAAGGCAAGAAGGCTCTCTGGAGTTTGGGTCCCTTTTTGGTCACGTTTCTCCCAGACAGGACGAAGCAAAGGGGGGACAGTGTGTCCGCCAATGGATACCACAGAGGTAATCTTTATATGTTTGATATTTTACTAAGCTTTAGTGGAGCTGTTAACCCAGCATGGGGATTTTAAAAACCAGATCATACCCAACCACTCCAAAGGGAACATGTCACTTTGTAATTCTTTCATAGACATGTTGTCTCTTGCAACTTTCTCCCATTGCTTTGCACTGTCTTGAGCAGATATGAACAACACTTTAGAACATACACACACTTCACAGCTAGGGGCTTTCCAGTGCAGTTCTTTGTAATGTGTAGAAAAACAACGATGTTGCTGTTGGTTGGTACTGTTGTGTTTTTTAAGATTTATTTTCTTCTCGAGAACGGGAAAATCTGTCAAGTCTTTGGTTTCTCTTCAGCCCAATTGTAAATTTAAACGATGCTCCCTTGTTTCGTTTTTCGTGTCCACTGCTATGGATATTCCTTTGGTTAGCGTTATGGTGTTACTGTCTGAAGCCTATAAAATGCAGATACCCTGGTGCGCGTGTATTTGCTATGGCAATTGCCTAATTCTAGAACCAGAGGGAAGTCCTACATTTCCGATCTCATCCAGTAGTCCACTAATCATTACCTTTTGCATAGGATAGCATTTATCTTTCCCTGGGGACCTTTCATTTTTATTTCTCACTAAAGACCAGATTCTGCCACATTTACCTACCTTGAATAGTTCTTTACTCCACAAGTAAATATCAATGACACCGTTTGTAAAGTAAATTTCTACTATCATGCGAGTAAGAGCGCCAGAAGCTCTAAATTGCTTTATCTTTTTATTTGTAAATAGCAACAGTTGTTGTAGACCCTTTGCTGCGGTGTTTTTTTTTTAAGGGAAGAGATTGGATTATGAATAGTTTCAGCTGGTTTGTTAGTGAAATTTGTTGGTAGATTGTAGAAGTTTCTTAATTTTCACTCCACATTACACCATGTGTCACATTATATCTATCTATCTATCTATCTATGGATATTCTACATTTTATTTATATGTGATGGAAAAATATGTAGTCCAAAGTGTGAGCCAAAGAAAATTTGAACATTTTTACAATACGAATCCCAAATTACTGGTCTCTCTTTGAAGTTGATCTTCAGTAAGGTTTTATAGCTTGCAGTAATGTGTCCTTAATTCTGTTCCAAAAGGGTCGATATTTGTTCAACTGAGCCTGCTTCTGATTCTACCGAGTAAAATGTATTCCCTTAACCAACAGCCAAACACTTTCAGTCGGGGCTTCTAATTCTTAATGTATCAGAATAATGTCCAAGATCAAAGTGCATCCTTTTCTCTGTGAACCTTAGCTTCTCCTTAGCTAACCACAGAAAATCCTCAACACCTGGTTTGGAACATCCTCAAATCAAGAAAAAGATGCATCCTTTATCCAAGATATATGGTTGCAAACTTCCAAAGCAGAAATTCCCTAGCTGGAAACAAAGCACCCTCTGTGCCCAGAGTTATGCTTTCTTTTATTTTGTCTGTTATTACTAGATACACAAAAAGAACAAAACAACAGGCATGGGAGGGGAGGGGCACAGGACTCTTTTCTACTAAAAATCGACCAACAAAACCAGCAGCAACAACAAAATCTTCAGGCATCAGGTAAGGTAGAAACCATCAAATTCCTTTTTGTGAAAAAAAGTGGCTAGATTCAAAATAATCGGGACAGAAAGATGTCCTGCTCCTTTATGAATAATTTAGAACTACAATTCCACGTATGAATTTGTCTCTAGAAATTATTGCCTGCTTTGCAATCGAATATATTGTCAAAAATATCAACTAAAGACAAAGTGCAGCATGAAATCTACCTAACGGATTCTTTCTTTCTTTCTTTCTTTCTTTCTTTCTTTCTTTCTTTCTTTCTTTCTTTCTTTCTTTCTTTCTTTCTTTCTTTCTTTCTTTCTTTCAAACATGATCCAAAATTAATTTACACTTAAGATAAATTTTGCCACCGTGGAAGTAGTTGTATGGTGAATTCACGCTAAACAAGCTTCATGATAAATACGAATAATAGCAATTCACACTACATTTGGAGAGCCCCGAAAACATTATAATTGATTTTTTGTAATAGAAAAGAAAACAGTACTGTTATCATTCATAAATAATTGCCTCTGTTCCTAATAGCTCTAATTTTCACTGCCCATTTGATGTGCTGCAGGTTTAATATACAGCATTTACTAATCCAATTAAAAGTGCACCTGGCCTGGAAGGGCTTTGTAATTAGCAGGAGTATTTTTAGCTATTTCCACTAGAAAACCGTGAAATCCTCTCTGCTGGACTAAAGACTCTAATATGGGGGGCTAGGCATTCATGTCTAATCATTTTGCCTGGAAGTTTAACAGTTCCTGTGCAGGAGAAGATGAGGGACTATTTTGACTTTTGTGACATTGATATCCACGAGCCAGAACCTGCAAATTCAGGCAAAACTCCCAGGGCAAGTGGGTTTTAAATCATTTTCACACTTTGTAGATTTGATCCTGTCCCATTCGAGACAACGGGCATTTTTATATTGTCTTGAATGGGAAACAGGATAGAACCCGGTGTCTATAACATATCCGGAAGGGCCCGATCCTGTCCCCATTCAAACCATAGAGCACTGCCATGGATTTCAGTGGCCGCAGGATCGGGCCCCGAGTTAATGAAACATTTTCATTTCCCTCCTACAAAGCACACGGTTGTTACGTGCGATATGAGCGAGCGGGAGGCTCCACATTTTATGCTGACCATATTATTTCTGAATGAAAAATGCCTCCAGAGAGGAACTATAGCAAGTAAAGAGTCAGCATGTACATTACCCTTGAAATGCTATATTGCCTTTACTTCACATGAATGGAGCGTCTTGTTATTCCTCTTTTCCTTTCTATTTCGTAACTTTCTGGTTTGTGGGGCAATTCTGAATCCCCGTGAACCCGCTTAATTGTGTGCCATGAAAGAAGCGTCTGATTGAATAAGAAAGACCTGTATATTCAACAATTTTCCATGCATGATATAGGAAGATTGGGTCTGTTTCCTACCATGGGAAAATATACAGCCGTATGACTCTGAGGTGCAAAAGGCACTAAGATCTATAACATGCTCGCCCCCCCATTTCTCTCCCCCCATTTCTAGAAAATAAATCTGTTTCTTGGAAAACACTGCCGGGACTTAACCTTTGCAGAGGTTTCAAACTGCACGCAGGCTTGGGGCGGTGTTGCTCACTGGAGATCACTTTTTAAGCCTGTGGGCCCTAAAGGGTACTAGTTTTCCAATTAAAAGCTCCGACTCCAGCCAGCCTCTCCCTGCTTTATGTAACTCTTGGGCTCAGACTCACTTAAACGGAGCCCTGACATTGCGGAGAGAAGGGGACTAACGTTTCTGGGACAGAGGCCCAATTTACTGCGGCTGGCACAACCACAACAGCAACAACTGGTTTCCTTGCTAGGAAAGGCTCCATAATATGCCCCGGAGATGGGGCCTGGCTAGGCAGGGAAGATGAGAGGAGAGTTTTATCCTGTGGTCCCCGAAGTGGCTGGGTGGGTATCAAGTCCAGTTCAGTTTGCCATGAACAGTGACGTTCTACACCAAGCCAGAAAAGGCAGCGACTGTCATAGAGGAATAGAGATTATGTTAGTTATCGATAGAGAGAGAACATGGAGCGATTTACTAGCAATGTGTTTGGTCAGATAACCCCTTTAGCCAATCCATTTAGCGTCCCCAACTTGCACGCAGAAGGGTAGTGACTTGAGCTAGTTTCTACATTAACACAAAATCATGGGCTAGGGTTGTATGAGGTAAGTGGAAGTTAACACTTCTGGGGTCTAATTCTACCGGCTTTGAAGTCAATGGCAAAAATCCCCTTGACTTCAACGTGAGCGAAATCGGCCCCTGAACTGTGTATATTTTACCGAAGCAATGACTTTCAGCAAATGCATCCCGGCCCACGAGGGCCTGGGATTCTACCTATCTCCCGATAACAGCTGTAAAGCTATCAGGAGTCACCACTACGTCCATATACACTCACAGGGCAGTGACAAAAGGAAAAATAAACATACTGTGGGGAAATGAAACAATGTAGTTCACTCATTTAACACCTATCATTGAAGTGCAGCTACTATCAGTGAGTTACCACCATCTTATTTCTAAAACAGAGAGTGGTACCATATTATATCGTGTATACATGGATTCCTATATCATACTACACACTTAGGTTCCAGATTCAGGTGTCAAAATTATTGTGCTGTACTTTATCAGCAGTGTGGCAATAATATCTGTATGCACTTTCCAGTTTCAGGTCTCTGTAATGTACAACTGCTGGTGAGGTCACTACATTGAAATCCTCTATGCTATGAAATATTGTAATCTATTTGCTATTGAATATCTTAATCCGCATGCACACACTTTTAGCTCTAGATTTTTTTTCAAGCACGATTCAACTTTTAAAACCAAGCAATATATTTCCGGCATATTCATTCTAGGAATCTAAAATTAAATGGCAAATCATGTGGCCTAAATTAAACTTTTGGAAACTTTCTAGACAAGCTACACATTTCAATGTTAAAACATCTTTATATTAGTGTGTGCATTAAAATCATGACCACAAGTGAGCATTGTAATGTATGGGGAATATAAATAGCTATTTAAAAACAGAATAATTTGATAAACATTTCTCCAGGTTTTTTCAGATGCAGTTGCAGTTTTCCTCTCAGTATTTTAGGTATACATAATAATTAAGATACTTTGATAGTAGAAAAATATATAAAATAGTTTTAAGTATGCAAACTTTTATTAGTAACCTCTTTTCTTTTCTTTTCTTTTCTTTTCTTTTCTTTTCTTTTCTTTTCTTTTCTTTTCTTTTTTAAAGGTTTTCCTACCGGCTCTGTTCCCAAATGTCGGAGTCCAGAGAGGTTTAATAATTTGTATATGATGCATTTTAAAAGTGATCTAGTTTCTTTTATTTTCTTTCTGATATGCAGGGTCTGAGAGCGCAGAATCAACAGCCTGGAAGCTCGTAAACATCTAGGAGGCAGATAACTAATCATTATGGCATTTGCGTGACTTTAGTTTAAATTACTGTCTATTTTTTAATGATGATAGCATCAATGCAGGGCTCTTTCTTCAGATCTTCCACTCTAAACTACCTTCATTTTGCTGCCTAAAACTCTTTTTACTGTGCCCTTTAGTTTTCACTGAGTAAAGTCTGAGACCTGTGGCTTCTTCGTTGTTTATTTTATTTTGCGGGATGATTTAGCTTATTAGTTATAGATTTTTAAACTACCATTAATCCCCAAAGTGAACGGAATCAGCCACAGAAAAATCCCCAAATCGTAAAGGGAAAGGGGAAACTTTAAGCCTAGAACTCATTGTTTCCTGTATTTCAAAGGGGGGGAAACCTGAACGATTCTCATCCTTTTGATTGATTAAGGTCTTGAATAACTTGAGGCTCGAGAGTGACAGTTACTGAATAGACTATTGCAAATAAAGAGCACTGTGCAAAGCCGGGCTGGCACTTCAGAGTGTAAAGGAGGCGAGTTTGCTGGCACTTACCAAGTTATAAATAAAAGGACATGCACAATAGTACCTTCTTTAAGGACAGACAGTCTTTACAACACTCCTGGCGTCATATCCTGCTGTGGTCACTTCAGCTCCTAGTCAGACTTTACTTCTTTTATTTTTCCAGCAGTTTAGTTTGAATACTACAATAAATTCCTGGGAACAAATGCTTGTTAGCAAGACTTACTTTAACACACACACGGATAAATATATAATATAGGGCCACATTTTGCCATCCGTTCTTAAAGCAGAAATTCCCAGTGGGAACAATGGATACTTCTGCTTAAAAACCGAATAGCACCATTTGCTCCAGAGATTTTATTCTCCATTGCTACCGATTTCAGCGAAAAGAGAAAGCGAGAAAGACAAGGAGAGAGAGGACAGTTTTATTCCTCCCTTCACACATTCTCAGAGAAGATGTGCTGGTGGAAATAGGCAAACAAAGAACTGTATCAATAGAAACACAACTTCCCCTTTAATTTCTCGCAGGCTGTTTGACCAGGACAGCATACAGCTGTACGTCTACAATCCCTCAGGAAAGAAAAGGTGACCAGAGAGACCGACTTCAAGAAATGCAAGTGTCTGGTTGCTTCCTTATTGTAATCTCCTTCAAGTGGCATTGTGCCAAGACAGTTGTAAAAGGAATGAACAGTTTCCCCACTGAAGGCTGCTTTCTCCCCTGCTTTTGCATTTTCTCCTGTCCAGCCATTCTATGAAAGGACACTTTATCAAGGGAAGAGGCAATGCCTGGGTCACACTCCTAGATTGAGGCCTCGATTGTAATGATGAGAAGAGAAAGTTGCAGATTTCACCCAATCAGCTCCTGTCTTCTCCAGACGGGACAGTCTCCCTGCTGGCCAATCGCAGCTCAGAGATCCTGATGAAGCTTTGGGGGAAAGAACTAATAAATACTCCAGAGCGGAGTTCCTTTCACTCTGTATCAACAACAGGAAGAAATCATTCCTGCCACCCCCTCCCTTTTCATATCAAAGTGCGCTCATCTTCACACAGTGGCCAGCAGCCGCCTGAGCTCTTTCCCGCGACTTGTATGCAAGTTTCCCTTCGTCGCCCCAAACTTTGTTTCCCTTTCTCCTTTTTGTCTCTCTCTCTCTCTCCCCTTTGCTTTGGGATATCACGTCTTATTGACAAAAGGAGAGCAAGTCGTTCCCCCCTCCCCAACTTCCCCCTCCCTTTTTTTCCAGGACTTTCCCTTTTTCAGTGGGATCTATTGCCAGAGCTGATCTCTCGTATATCAGCATTCACCTGGATATAGTATTAAAGTAAAGCTGTATACAACATGACAACTCTAGCTGGAGCTGTCCCAAGAATGATGCGACCAGCTCCCGGGCAGAACTACCCTCGCAGCGGATTTCCATTAGAAGGTAGGAATGCTCTCTAGCTGTATAATGAATTTTCAAACCCGTATGTGTCTGTGTGTGTGTGTGTTCAAACCTGTGTGTGTGTTGCTGAGAAACCGTTCCCCCCCCCCCATGCTGTGCACTAGTTACTTAGATTAAAACACAAATTAGAACTGCAACTGCACAAGGTTAGAGCTAGAAAAAACTTTTAACAACATGGAAAAGTGACTGCACAAAAGGACTCCCTCACAATTTATGCACACACATATAATATACATTGTTTGCATTATCTTTCACCACATAAGCAAAACACGGATTCTGTTTTGAAGAAGGCAGCGTTGCAAATTAGAGCCCCAGAATAAAGTTGGGGGAGATCCTATTGATTGTCAGGGGTTCTGTCTTCTTAATCTTGGGACCCAATCCTGCACCCCTTACTCAGACAAAACTCCCACTGATACCAATGGGAAGTTAGCCTGAATAAGGACTGCAATATCCGGCTCTAAATCTCTTCAGCTTCTCGGCAAGTTTAAGGACGGTAATACTTTAAAAAAGTGCAACGGACTTTTAGACACCAGTTCACTTCCCCTATCCCCCTGGAGTAGAGTCTCTCAAACTGTTGTTCCGTATTAACGTTTCTGTAAAAACGGTTAAAGGGGCGAGCGATGAGGGGTGAAACTAAAAGAAAAGGAGACACCAGGAACCCAATTTTAGAGTCGCGGAAGAATAATAACAGGAAGCAGGTTAGAATTGTATATTCCAAACTCTTTAAAAGATTCTTCCGGAAGTTTTATGTTTTCCCCCCTTTTCACTTCTACCAGGAGCCCATTAGTAGCGGCTAATTAAAGTAGATAATTAAAGTCTTTCCAATAGTAAATGATGGAGAGTGTAACAGGTGAAAATTTTACGCTGGTTTTCTCCTGCAGTCTGTTTTACAGATAGATTAGATTAGATTCACAAAATCCCGAAATTGTCAGGGGTCTCAGTTACCCCTCTAACTGGAAGGGCCGAGTGGTACCTATGTAACTAACATGCGAATAAGATGTGTCATCTGGCTCCTGAAGTTGCTTCTGGAAATAGGTTCCCACTAGCACTTAATATTTCCTTTCTCTGAAGGCGCTCTGTTGATAAATCTGAAACATTATTTAACTGTTGTGCGAAGATGACTCTCAGCTGTCAGGCACTCCCAGGGTTTCTAACCATCACAGATCTGTCCAGCCAGGCAACCTAGCACTAAACTGGCGCAAGGATGGGAGCGGATGAACTCGGGTACGTGTTTGTGTGCATGTGGATGGGGGAGTGTGTGCGCACTGAGAAAGTCGGGTTGACTTGAAAACACACACAACAAGTAACTCCATTTCCCCCTCCTTTCTAGTGTCTACTCCGTTAGGCCAGGGCAGAGTCAATCAGCTCGGTGGAGTTTTTATCAATGGCAGGCCTTTACCCAACCATATCCGACACAAGATAGTGGAGATGGCCCATCACGGGATCAGGCCCTGTGTCATCTCTCGCCAGCTGCGCGTGTCCCACGGCTGCGTCTCCAAAATCCTCTGCAGGTACCAGGAGACTGGCTCCATCCGGCCGGGGGCCATCGGGGGCAGCAAGCCCAAGGTGAGGAGATCAGCAACGCAGTGGTGACTGTGTTTAGGGCCTGGCCCTGCCAGGTGCTGAGCCTTTTCCCCTCCTGTCCCGTCGATTTCAGTGAGCGCTGAGGTCGCTCAGCCCCTTGCAGGATGGGCTCGGGGGAGGCAGGAGGGCACGCTGCGCTTTTGCTGTGATTTGGGGAACGATGCACATTTGGACAAAGCCTTATTGGGGCTAGTAAACTTCACACAAGCCTGGTTCTGGCTAAGGATTTTCAGGCTGCAGCATCTGAGGAGAAAGAGTCTGCTGTATTTAATGCAAGAGACAAAATGTAATCAAAGGCTGCGTAATTGCCTGTGCTCATGTAAACACCTTAGAAATCAACACACTCCTCCACACGGTGTGTGCACGGAGATGCGCACACACACTCGTGTGCAAAGTGCTGTGTGTACCCTCCCACCCCGTCCCCACCCTATTGCTAGAACTTTGCTGTCCCATAGATATTTTAAAAACTTCGAAAACTGAATCAAAGAAATAAGGCCCAATCCTGCAAGCTCTTATTCACCTCCGAATGGTCCCCACATACCCACCACCAAAACCTGTGGGAGCCGCTTAGGGGTTGAGCTCTTTCCAGGATGGAGCGTGCAAGAGGGCCAGTTGGAGTCCGTTGGTCTAGCCATTGAGTCAGGGCGGGGGAGTTTACAGGATCGGGTCCTATATTCTGGAGTGTTTTTTAACATGTTGCTGTACAGATCTATCAATGTATGTAGCTAGTATCATAGATGACTGCTCAAACGCTACTTATATTTACATATACATACACCCAAAGAGTGTGCATACAGGCAACTATAGATCGTTGGACGATTGTTAACTTGTTTGTATTATTATATATATCCCCCCCCCCAAAAAAAACCCTCTTTCTTTCTTTCTTTCTTTCTTTCTTTCTTTCTTTCTTTCTTTCTTTCTTTCTTTCTTTCTTTCTTTCTTTCTCCTCTGCTGCTCCTTTAACGCAGGGATTATTAAACTTTTATACCAAATTTTAGAATAAATTACTTTATGTATTCTACAGGCATATTATCTGGAAAATTATTTCTAGTTCTGATTTCCAGGGTTTTTAATTCAACGTTATTTTCGTTTTTTAGGACATCCGAGCAAAATTTCAGAACAGTGCGTTTGTCAGTGTCTGTTTATGATACTTAGAAAAATCAACATTGTTGTTGTGAGACTTATTTTCTGTTGTTGCTAAATTTCCGAGGTTGGGTCTGTACTTGCAGTTTGAGTTATACTTTAGCACAGTTTAATCTCTTTTCCCGATCGTTACACTGTCACTGACAGTACTTTTACTGCGATTTTCATCTTCTCTGTGGACATTTCTGTGCTCACCACCCTTTGTACAGATACACAAACGTTATTACTAGATCACTTTAGGTTTTGATTACTATGGGCCCGATCCTTCAATTCTCATGCGAAGGCAACCCCAATGGACTTCCTAGGGAGTTTTGCCGTTCTGTGGACTGCAGGATCGGGCTCGTTGTATGTATCACGCAGTCCTGAGTCAGTTTGAAAAGCAGAAGGACGTTGATCCAAAGGGGCCAGATCGTGCCCTGAATTATAACGGGGTGTAAATCCGGAGCGACTCCAGTCAGGCTAAAGGAATTACTCCGGATTCACGCGGCAGAATTTAACCTTCGCGTCTCGCTGTGATCCTTTTGCATTAAATCCAAACTGTACAAACTTGGTGTCCGCCTGGTTTGTTGTATTAAAGCAGGTGACAACGCCGGATGTTGAGAAGAAAATCGAGGAATACAAGAGGGAGAATGCCGGCATGTTCAGCTGGGAGATCCGGGACAAACTGCTCAAAGACGGGGTCTGCGATCGAAACACGGTGCCCTCAGGTACTGGGGTCTATTCTTACTTCAGTTCAGCAGGCTCAGTACAGCCACTCACACTCTATTGATTGAGGCCATTTGGAGAGGCCACCTTTATCCAGAGTCGTCTTCCAGAGCCATAAAATATTTAATGAACTTACATTATCCCCCCTAGGTGTATGAGATCTGGGGTCTTATTATGCAAAGCGCGTGCTTGGGATGGGCGGTTGGGCAAGCAGTATATATATATCCTGTGGGTCTATTGCAGGCAGAGGATGAGCTAAAGCGTTCGTTCAGTGATGAACATCATTTCTGAAAGGGAATCTAAAGCTAGAACCTAGTAGGTGCCGCGGTGCTATTTCCAAGAGGCGACAGGCAGTCCGGGGTAGTCACTTTCCTAACTTCATAAAACGATCGGCATGAACCACGGGTACAAGTTAAACATATGGATCCCGGGGAGGATTTCTGCACTGGGGTGGGGCAGTTTGTTTTTAATTAAAAACCAACTGCACTCCTCCCCCCACCTCTCCCGGTTTGTGCCAAGGAGATAGTTCAGAGCATGGGTTTGTTTTGCAGATTGGAATCTGGAAACAAATAAATGAACCAAGGCTGCTTTTCTTTTCTCCTCTGGGTTGTTTTTGTTACAATAGACGAGTATTCCGGCGTGGAAATCGAAACCCTGCCGTTTGAGGCCTCCTAAATAGTTTGCTCTCTGGGTCATTTTGTTGTAATTTCCCTTGTAATGCTTTCTGGTCAGCAGACTTTACTGGCTTGGAGAAAACAAAAATATCTTGCAGTATATGTTCAGCCCATTAAAAAAAACCCATAGGGAATATAAGGATTTATAGACACTAACCTCACAGGCAGTGAAGCCCCTGAATTTAACCCGGGGGATGTAAAAAACCAATGCACTGTAGTGGCCTGAATTGACAAGGATCAAACCAGCACGTCTCTGGATGTGCGCTGGTGTTGGGGCAGCTGTTCTATAGGGATGAGGGTGCAGCAGAGGGACACTCACTGCCGAGGTCCCGAGAGGGAGAGGTTGTTTTAAAGCCAGCAAAGCGCTGCTGCTTTACAGCTCTTCGTTTTTCCTTGAAGTGAGCTCCATCAGCCGCATTCTGAGAAGTAAATTTGGGAAAGGAGAAGAGGAGGAGGCCGAACTGGAAAGAAAAGAAGCGGAAGAGAGTGACAAGAAGACCAAGCATAGCATTGATGGGATCCTCAGCGAACGAGGTAAAGCCAATCGCTCCCCCCAGACGCGGAGTGAAGTGGGAATCTTGTTTGCAGCTTCTGGATCGGGCTTTGCGCCTTGGCAGTAAGGGAAGGACGTGGGGCGAGGCTCACACACGTTAGCTGCTGGGGAGGGGGACTGGTCCAGCAGCGCTGGAGGCAGGTGCCTGCTTGAGGTGTTATTAAACCCAGCCCAATGGAGCGGGGTTCACGTGCGCTCTTTGTTTCCCTCTTGACCCTAGGAACCTTGTTCGCCGGGAGGTCAGATTTGTAGGTTATCTCTGCCCTGTTTGTTGTCCCGGCCGGGTTGGTCTCTCGCTCTCATTAGAGGCTGATGGCTTCGGAGAAAGTGTGTCGGAAGTGGCTGGTCCTGCTAGGGGTTTTATGAGGCCTTCTCGTGGTGGTGGTAAAAGCTGGCGTTAGGCGTGAGAGCTGTTGGCACCTTTCTGCAGATGGCAGCGAGATCAAAGGGCGGGGGCGCTTCTCTCCAGGCATCCTTTGCTCCCTCGGAGCCTGCTGAGGGTCCCCAGGAAAGCGGGCAATGCCCTTGTGGAAGAAAAGCTCCGACCCCACCTGAGTTGCTTTTCCTTTCATTACCTTCCCCCCCCCCCACCTGATTCCCATAGGAGTCATCATGTCCTAGCTGCACATGGCCCCTGGCCTTAGTTGCGTTCCACTGACCCGATGGAACTCGCTGTCCCCCGACTTTGCAAGGACCATATTGGAGGGCGCACAAGAGACAGGCGCACACAAACCCATTCCTGATTAGCGCAATTTCTCTAATGCCCAAAGGGAAATTCCCACGTACATCTAAATCCCACACAATTTTAAATCTCATCTAACTGCCGCTTTAAATTAACGGATTGGTGTATTTAATATTCACGAGGGAGTCGGAGGCAGGGAGAGAGAGTTGGTTACTTTGCTTGGATTTTCAACAGCAAGGGAAACTTTAAACAATCCCTGGAAGGAGATCGCAGAGACAGACCCCCTCCAGATTATTACAGATATGCCTAATTGCACGGTGCAGAGTGCCCCGTGAGGAACTAAAATCACATCTCAGGCCCCGTGAGCCCCGTTAGCTCTGGCGTTCAGCAGTCTCACGCTTGACCAGGTACTCTGGCTGGGAACTGGAGGCGGGTGTTTTCTCTGATCGAAGTGGCTCGTTCTGGGGGCTTGGTGTTAAAGGAAAAGTATATTCGGGGTGTGCAATCTTCTGGCCAGCAGGTCAAACCCAGCCCCTGCCAGTTCTTCAACCCAACCGCTATTGTGACTTTCATCATTCAAATTGAAATCACTTTTTAAAGGGGGAACGAGTCTCTTGATTTGGGGCCCGATCCTGCCATCTTTGTTCTGGCTTATTGGCTTCAAGTGAGAGTTTTTGCTTGAATAAACCTGGCAGGATAGGACCCTGCGATAATAAAACCAACAGTTCCTGTAATTTCCAAGTCCATCTCAGGCAGAGTATTTCCTTCTAGGGCAGTTTTGCATACTGCTAAAAATTTCCCAATTCTAGCCCGCTATTGTTGTGAATCATTTGAAATAGTTCAGATTCCTTGGAATTGGAAGTTAGGCACTAGGAGAACATTGGGAGGAAAGAAAAGAGTCTTCTTCAAAATAAAACCCAATCAAAGTCTAAAAATAAATAGCAATTTTAGCTGAAGAAAAATAGAAACCCAGTTCAGTGGCTTGAGGTTTGCATTTATTTCAAGCCTAGGTTTTTATTATTGCCCTGTGAAAAACCTGTGTTAGGTGCTGGGAAGTACATGCAATGAAATCAAAACCTAAGCAAGAAAGAGGAAAACGATACAACTCTCTGCAGG